GACAAATGTGTAACCTGAAGGTGTGTCCATTTCACGTCTATTTATAACCCCTCAGCTGCACATAATCAAATGACGTCACCTTCTGAGGTTATTTAAGCCAATTCTTGGCATGTTTGACACACATGCTTCACAACCGGTCGAACAAAGAATGTTCTTATAAGCGTTATTGAAACGCAGCATCTCATTCCCGCTTTTTCAGGGAACAGGGTTACAGTCAAGTAACCCAAGACGTTATTCTATTTTGTTTGGCTGTTTCTGTATTTCTTTGTATTTAGCAAAACAAACCACTTAGAGGATAAATACCCCTTTTGCCTTGTGTAGCCTCTCCCTTTTGGGCCGAGTGTTATAAGTCTACATCAGTCTCATGCTGTTTGTGACAACAATACTTTTGCGTAATTTAATAATATAGATTAATGTTAGTTTCATTATACATTAATTAATTTTTAACAAGCATAAATTAAATAGCAAATACTTAAACTAATGACAAAACAGTAGCTGATTCAGAAGTGCCAGATTGTCATAGGAAAGTCAGAATTACCTCCTCTCCTAGGTTCACGAAACGCATAAAATGCATTGCTGTTCTGTTAATCTTAACTTTGATAAAGAATATCTCTTTGGTTTTGAGACTTTAGTCTTTGCAACTTCAGGGATCTTATCTATGCACAATCAGCTTGTAACACTCCAAAGAGAAAGGAAAACTTGAAATCGCATCATATGACCCCTTTAATGTACACATTGATTTGATAACAGATACTGTTATCAAATCAAGTTATCAAATGTATGACTATATCATGTTACTAAATGCATTAACTATAATGAACAAAATTTAACCTTATTGTTACCATTTAATGCCATTCATTTAAGACATTAAGGGCCAGATTTACTAAACAAAGCATGAGAGGGCAGTTCCATAAAAGCGCAGACAGGAGTGGAAAGTTCTGTGGGTGATCTACTGACAATGCGCAAATTAAAGAACGCAGACACAACATCTAATTTCCATAATGACCAACGCAATCTACAAAGAGTAGCGCAAATTAGCGGAAGGATATGTTCGGATAATGTCTTCCTCTGGCATTCCAAATAAATTAATATGTGTAGAAAAAATAATCTCCCTTCTACCACACACTCTCTGTTCTCTGCAGTGCTTCCTCCTGACAGCAACAATCGCAGCCTGTCAAGCAAAAAATGAGTTAAGGGTGCTAAATAATGGCGCAAATACCAGTGAATTGACTAGTGCAAACCTTAGTAAATCATGTTACGTGATTCATTTAAATACTCACCTCCCATAAATTTTGCACCTGAAAGGGACACTCCTGCAAATGCATATGCAATAAGGTCAGCCACAAAAATGACTGTCCACACCTTTTCATCGCTTATTTCTTGCTGCATGTCTTTAGTAAATCCTGACAGTCGCGGGTTTGCGCTGACGCAAGCTGTTAGTAAATCTGGCCCAAAGACGTAAGATTTGACATTGTTCAGTGTCCGCCGAAAACAGAATAATTGGAACCATACAAATAAGTAAATGCATGAACACAGTGTTAGGTTAATGTAAATATAATGTGTGCCTCTTACAGTTTTTATTTACGGTGTGCATTTTACTTATAAACACTAATGAGCTTGTGTAGTTGTGTTATGTGCATTGCCGCTGTTGGTTTCATAATTCAATAAGCTTTGTGTTACTTGCAGCATGTGACATTTTTTTTTTCAACAGCAATCCCACAATGCATTTCTGTTCACCTCCATGAATAATCTGAGTAATTCTGTTATCTGCTTTCTAGTTGCATGTAGGGTTTTCAGTGTTAGTAATGTGCTCAGTCTGGCGAAAGTGACTATATGGGAATTAAGTATAATGTAGCATTAGATTTAATCGGTGTTATTGTGATTGCAGAATCAAATTACTAATTTCTACAAACCAGTCAACAACTATCATTCCCAGAATCCTCCACACTTTTCTTTCCAGAGGTTTGATCTGCACAAATATTCAACACATATTCAACAAGAGTTGACTTAAGGCCGGGCCGACGGCGAGCGAAGGTCGGGCTAGTTTGTTTGGTGTGTTCCACTCGGCGGCAGTTTGCCCAAGTCAACATGTTGAATCGGCATCGGGGCCATCAGGACTTTCGGCGCAAGTGAGAGCTCTGATTGGATGTTCAGTTTAGCGAACGAGTCAGTGCCCGAGAATTAAAGCAAAAATGATGAAAACAAGCACGTAAATGAAGGTGGAACAGACAGAAGGCTGTTTAAATGCTACGTGATCTTTACCAATCATTCTAATACGCGAATGTTTTCATAACAACATGAGCCACTTAAAATAATTAAAGTTATCAACGTTGCTTTGTTTACGTTTCGTATATCTTTGTTTCGGTTTCTCCTTTATAGATACTATATATACTATTGATAGCTGCTGATATAGACAGTTAATTCCTTTCACGCATGCGCAGAATGCACGTGTTGGTTTGCCGTCAGCTGTAGTCTGTGCGGTGTGTTCGAGCGCAGCTTTTTGGTCCGACGCTGCCGACGTGAGGCGACAACACCGTCGGCTTTCGTCGCCGCTAGTACTTTGAAGTCCGCTTGGTGTGTCCCGGCCTTTAGAGATGTTTGCTTGAAATATCATTTCATACTGCTCAGGGTGAAATTTTTTTTCTTTCCTCTCCATATTGATACGGGTCAATATTTCTAGACTTACACATAATTCCATATAAAGATGAACCAGAAGGCATGAAATTACTGATAACGGTGTCAATATTAATGCAACTTGAAAGTCAACAATGTCGTCTAGGTGGATAACCAATGAGTCAATTACAAAATTTTGACATGCAATTTGAAATGTAATTTTTTTGGGACTGCTCACAATGCAGCACAAAACAAGGATCACAAAGACATAGCTTTGTGAGCAATATGTTAACATGTTTTTAAATAGGACACCCCAAAACACTACTGAAATCAAGTAAATGAGATACATATAATGATATACATAATTGTTCCATTGGGTTTCACCCTCAATTCTGCAACATAGTGCTCCCATTATTGTTTCCAAATATTTTCGGTATAAACGGTTCTAGTTTTGTGATCAACACAAATAATTTCAGAGACTGAAATTCACCTAATACAATAGATGTTGCTATTCTACAAACACTCCTTCAACTGAAATTGTTCAGTATGTGAATATTTTCACCCAGTGTGAATAGGAATGGGTTCCCTTTGACAGTTAATGCCACTCACATTCGGTATGAATAAACCTTAAGAAATGGTCATCAATGGTAAATTCCAACCCGGTCTATGGATGGACTGACCTCCACAGACTGAAGGACACAGCATGCCTCATCACATATGACAATTGTGCTGAGACCTTGAGGACTCCAGCCGATTAAACTGATTGACATTTCATTTGTCTCTTTCTACTTCTCACTTTTTTCTCTCCTTTCTTATCCCCTCTGGTGGACTGTGAACTGCTTTTTATAAACATTTCTAGAACAATATCGAACATGTAATGCAAATCGAAACAAATGTTTCAAAACAATATATATTTTGAAAAGCACTGTAGAATTAAAACTTACATAACTTGACTTAGAACTTCAAGGTGGTTACCAACTGGCCCAAATTCACAAAAAAATAAAAATAAAATAAAGATAGAAAGAAATTTTTTTTTTATTTGTTTTATCAAAAAGCATATTTCTGATTACTTTGAAAAGTGATTGCATGTCTCCTCAACAAGCCACATGTACGGTCTACATATTAGGACATCCTCAGACCTTCAGGCCACAGGAAAAATGTCATGTGTCAGGTCTTGTATAATGGCAAAACAACCTAAAGGCATTGCATTAAATGGCAGACGAAACCTTCAAAATTTTATTCATATTAAGTTGAGTTTAAAAGGATGCTTTTAAACAGCTTACAAGAAAAAAAGGTTCTTATCCAGTCCTGTGACCCCAGTGGACATTAACGGGGATAAATATTTCATATTCTTCATGGTGCTCTGCTGTCCTCCATTACAAACTGCTCAGTATGTTGTTAGGATGACAAAAAGTTAAGAAAAAAAAAGTTTACATTTTTTTTGTCTGCCTCAGTGGTCTAACAGCACTCATCAATGATAGGTTTTACTGTTTTTCATTAATCATTTATGTGATTCATGTAACATACATATAATTTCAGCACATAATGTATAGAATTAAAAGTAAATTTTATATAGCACAAATGACACTTGAAGCAGTGAATCTTGACATTATTTCTATTTATAATATTATTCATATATTTTACATATTATACAGCTACAATAATACATAATAATTCATATACAGGCACATGGGTTCCAGGCCTTTACACACATATACTGCTTCATGTGCCACTGCAAAACACTTTCAATTCAATATATATATATATATATATATATATACACATATTATATATATTTTATATTTTAAGCACATCTGTTGATTATACTGTAGCAGCATTGTATTTTGTGCCACCTTTTTCTTGTATACTCTATAAAAGACTAATTTTGAAACTTCTTCCATCCATCCAACCATCCATCCATCTTCCAGCCATCCATCTTCCAGCCATTTGTCCTTTGCAGGGTCACTCCTGATCCTGTAGCGTATCCCAGTTTCTCGGGCCGCAGACAGGGAAGCACCCTGGACCGATGGCCAATGCAGCTCTTTATGAATGACATAGTATTTCGGAAGTTTTGTCTAGTGCCATTTCATCTGAATCCTTTATGTCTGAGGCAGTTTTGCCCAATGCCTTCATGTCTGAGGCTGTTTCAATTGCACTGGGGTGGCTTTTATGCACTTGACAAACTGTGTTTTCCAAGACACTTATTAGAAACACTATTTTAACAGATATCAGCAATCATCTGATTGTATATTGTACATTATTGTAATAAATATGAGAATATGTGGTAGCAATTATGGCCAACCATACGCACAAACCATTAGAGGTATGACAAAAGAAGACTGGTATGTAGTACTTTTGATTGACAGTTTCCCCAAATTTGATCTTACCATCCACGCAGGCCGGCCTTGCTCTCGTTGTCCCAGCAATCTGTCCTTTCTTACATGCGCAGCGGGCCGTCTGTCTGGCAATCGTCCTGCGTGGCTGACTGCTGTCTCTGTTTAGAGTGACAATCTCACAGGTGCCTGCTGCCAGTTGTCCTGCAGGACACAACCAAAAACAGAAGAAGAGTTCAGAGGGGAACATTTAGAAAAGTGGTCATATCAGTGTTTTTTTTTTTTTTTTGCTTATTGAGGTTGCTTTCTCACAGTTCAGGAGACAATGGGGTTATTAGTTATGCTTTGTTTAGGTATCAACTTGATAAATGATGATTATCTTAAAATTCCTAAATAAAAAATAAAGACAAATGAGACAATGGTAGACATGCAGTAAGAGTAATATAATGTGGGCAGCAGAGCTAACAAAAACAAACAAAAAAAATACATTCAAACTGACTTTCAAAGACAAAATTCCCTCAAAGAATGTATGAGAAATTGTTGAGATTTCTTCACAAACTCTAGAGGAGACACATGCCAAATTATCAAGGTTTCTTCTCAATAGAAACATATGAAAGGAGAGGAGAGGAGACTTAAACAAAAGCAGCAATCAAATATCAAGCAACAATTTTCATCTAGGAAACACAACTGATCATTGTCACTCGACTGCTGTTAGGGAGACAAAGGCATGAAGAAGATTATATCAACAAACACTTTTAATGGTAATCCACACAAAGAAGGGGGTCTAACACACAGGGTAACATCAACAATACCGGACAGAAACCAGTGAACAGAACACAACTTAAGTAGGCTGGCAAATTAAGATAATTAACTAGACACATCTGAACCAAATGACATAATGAATGGGAGACAGAAACTAGGTCACACAGAGCACATGGGGAAAGAAAACACAACAAACAGTCCAGGGGTGTGACAGTTCGCCCCCTCTCCCGGAAGGTGCGATCTCGCACCACAGAAACAACAAAGGGAGGGACGGAGGGGGACTTAGGAGGAGGACAAAGGAGTGGATAAGGGATGGTGACGGGATGGCAAAGGGCTGGCAGGAAGGCAGGCAGACAATACAGGTGGAGGTTCAGGCGGAGGAAGGACACCCGGGAGGAGGACGACAAACAGAGTCCAGGGTGGAGATGACAGAGGGAGGAGCCAGGACGGGGACATAAGGGACCAGGGCGGATCAGATGGATGAAGGAGCCAGGGAGGAGACAGGAGGGACTTGGAGCAGCCAGGCCACAGCCATGATGGCGGCCCGATGGAGCCGATGGAGGGAGGAGCCATAGTGGAGGAAGGGCTGACAGCTCCAGGGGGCCGACAGACGGCGGCGGAGCAGGTGGTGGTGGAGCCCGAGACGGAAAGCCAAAGAGCCAGGGCGACGGGGAGGATCCAGAGGGCCAAGGCGGAGGCAAGGATCTGGAAGGCCGTGGTGGAGCCGGAGCGACAGAGGACCAAGGTTGAGCCGGAGGGAAGGAGGAGCCTGACAGAGCCGGAGGGACGAAGTGAGCTTTGGATATCCGTCATCGGTGTGCTCTGGTCTGGCTGTGTTCTGGATCGGGGTTAGATGCTCTCCAGACACCGGATGATTGCCTCCCTCCAGCACAGTCTGGTGGTGTCTGGGAGGTCGACGGGCCGATGGTGATTAGCCCTGATCCAGAACAGCGAGTTCAGCGACACGTCGTGGAAAGCGGTTAAAACGGCGAGCTGGCTGAACTCAAAAGCATAGTCCAAAAGTGGAAGGACTTGTATCCATAATTAAAAATAAAAACGGACAAAAACGGAAAACAAAATGAGGGGGAGATGCCGCTTACTTATTCTTTGTGGGTCCGGTATTCTGTCACACGACTGCTGGGTAACATCAACAATACCGGACAGAAAACAGTGAACAGAACACAATTTATGTATGCTGACAAATGAAGATAATTAACTAGACACACCTGAACCAAATGACATAATGAACGGGAGACAGAAACTAGGTCACACAGAGCACATGGGGAAAGAAAACACAACAAACAGTCCAGGGGTGTGACAATCATTTATATTTAACCCTCCTTTTTATGACAGTGTGTGTTGGAAGTCAGAATTTGATTAGTGTAAAGCAACTTCAGCAATTAATTATGTGTTGCTTCATTACTTTAAATAAACAAACAAACAAACAAACACTGAAAATATATTTTAGTCAAAGCTGCAATCATATGAAAAATACATGTACAACAGAAGAATTCTACAACATACTGTGACAGTTAAGATGCAAAACACGTTCACCCATCTACTGTTATCAAAGAGTTTAATCACTGTATGTGTGGAACTTTTTTTTTTTTTCTGAAATTCCTAGATTTATATATCTTAATTTCAATCTTCATTTCATCTTCACAAATCAATATTGATTCTTAAATCCCAATATTGATCTTTTAGTCTGTGCTAGGGGACATGTTCAGTTCACTTAGTTTTGTTGTGGCCACAACATATTAATTTGGGGTAATGTCATAGCATATTTTGGCCACAAGATAATTTTGTCCAGGTAAAGAAATCGACACGACATGTCATCGCCATGAGATCCTATGTAGAGGGAACGACATCTTTTTCTCGTGGCCACGAATTCTAATGTCGAGGGAACAATATTGTTTTCTCATGGCTATGGGTTTATTGCGTAAACAAACCTGCATGACCATTGCCAACCTGGGAAACATATTTTATGCATTTGCATCAGGAAAAAAAAGGGAAAAAAAAGTATTGACAATAAAGTAACTACGATTCATACAAAATAATTTTTTTTTTTTTATAATTAATAATTTATTACCTGATTAGCTTTTAAATGGACAAAGGGACATGAGTTTTCTAAGATAATGTACACAATGCCCATACATTAAAGTATTTTAACCTGTTCCCTTCATTTGTCCCTAACAGGGTGGACATTTTTGGTCTTCAATTTCAGATTTTGTTTCATAAATGCTTCGGCTTGACCAAAATACATTTTCATCATATAATCATTATTACACAAAAAGTTATTTTAAAATCTGTGTTTGATTTAAAAAAAATGTATGATGTCCAAAAGGCACCAAATACCAGGAATGACCCAATTAACATTCTGTATTATTATGTTACTTAAAAGTATGTTTTGTAAATAGGCCTACTGTAAATGCCTGACAATCATGCTCATAAAGGTTTGACTTCATGGGCAAATTCTAATTGGAAGTGAGCATCCCTTTGCCCTACTCTCTCCGAAGTGCAGAGCCCTTGAATTGTGGACTTTGGACGGAGTAGGGCACTTGTGTGTCATAGTTCCATTTGGAATGCACTTGGCGAAGGGAGCAATGAAAGACAACATAATTTCCTCATTATTTTCACCTGGAATGTTACCATGACAATGCTAGGCAGCAACACGATTTGTAAAAATTGCTTTATATATATTTATCCATCATAACATCCTGTATGGATGAGACATGAGGATAACTGCATAGTTCAAAGATTATTCAAAGACCTCATCTATGCACTTCAGTTTTGAGTTAGATTGTAAGGTCTGCTTCAAAAATATTAAATATTTAACATTTCATTTTCATTAACACTTTACCAACTAAACATCAAAATTGACACCTATTTTCTAATACAAATGCACTGTGTTCATATTTATCGGTGTGTTAAATTAAAGATCAACATTTACATATTAATTTGTGACATATTGTGATCTCACATGGCAATATATTTAAGTCCATACATTTAAGAGACATATCCTTAAATGTGACGCATATATAACAAACAAACACATGCATGCATGCAAAGTTTTGATGGTGCTTTCACTCCCTCCATATTTAATCATGTTGTATTAACTATGTTGTGTTAACTGTGATCTTGAATATCTACTGTTAATCATTCAATGTTTTTCTACTGAAGCTCCCTCGGCACCTGTGCCATTTCCACACTTCTTTGACTTGCGCCTGTCACTGAGGCAAAGTTGGAGTGCATGCCTGAAAATATTCTGTTTGTTGTGGTTGTAAAGAAGGTTCTGTGTCTACATAAACACAATCACAATTCAAGGAAAAAGACAGAAGCAGCGATTGTGAGCAAGATGGCAAAGGGGTGGCCAAGCTTAGGTCAATAGTGGCCACGGCCACTGTCTAGCTATAATTTTATAATTAGATTTAAAAGTTCATGTAAAAACTGCCTTATGGGCAATTTACATGTTTGCACACATTTATTTAGTAGTGATTATTATATCTAAAAATAAATCGCAGTTGAATGTAATAGTTTGGGCACTGTTTTTATAACCGCCCGATGCCCCGAAATGTACTGAACCATGACTTCAAAACTGAGGTACATACCGAACTGTCATTTTTGTGAAAATTACTCCTCACTACATATACAGAGTTTCATGACTAAGCTTATTGCATAATTTAAGCAATTTCAAGCAAACCTGAACATATTAAAAATGTAAACTGCATCAATAATTTATAAAACAACAACACAACTTCACAGCTTAAGTTAAGGCTGTTTGTTACCTCCTGTCCCTCTGTGCGGCTCTCAGATTAACCTGTCTATATGTGAAGCTGGTGTATAGGGAATCTACTTCCTGCTCCAGGCCTGAGGATTCTGATTGGCAGCGAGTCAGAACTGTGATTTAAACTGACCCAGAGTCAGTGTGCGGAGGTAGAACAGGGTTAATTAACTAAGGCACAGGTCACATTCAGGCTAATGGAGAATTTTAAAATACACAGCCGTACTACCACACGAGCTTGTGGGGGTGGGGGGGGGAGGGTGCAAAGGTTAAACAACATCAAGCTTAACAAGATGTTTGTGTTTTCACAAAATGTATATAACCTTTAGCCTGAAGATTGCAGAGTATGTGAGTTGGATTATGTAAAAATCCATTTGTCAGTGTGTTTGCTATCTAGATGAGACTTGTTAAGCTTTGCGGGTGATGAGAAAAACAACTTCCTGATATTTCATAATTTGGCTGATGTTCTGTTCATAAAGCCCACTTATATTCTCACAACTTCTTTACAAAAACAATTTTCCCCATTTCATTTTCCCCTTTCAAAATCAAGATGGGTTTAATTTTTCAGTGCACATGGTACAGTAATTAAAATAAATAGAGCCAATTAGAAGTCTGAAACATGAACTTTGAACAAACGTCAATGTTATTTATTTATTTCCTA